ATTTCATAAGGAAGACTGATTTTTATTTTATAGGTAAGTATCTGGTTTTTATTTTAAAGGCACGCCTCTGATTTTTATTTTATAGGTAAGTCTCTGTTTTTTATTTTATAGGTAAGAGTCTGATTTTTATTTTATACGTAAGAGTCTGATATTATTTTATATGTAAGACTCTGATATTTATTTTATAGGGAAGACTCTGATTTTTATTTTATAGGTAAGAGTCTGATTTTTATTTCATAGGTAAGACTCTGATTCTTGTTTTATAGGTAAGAGACTGATTTTTATTTTATAGGTAAGACTCTGATTTTTATGTAATATGTAAGAGTCTGATTTTCATTTTATAGGGAAAACTCTGATTTTTATTTTTTAGGTAAGACTCTGATTTTTATTTTATAGGTAATAATCTGATTTTTATTTTATAGGGAAGACTTTGATTTTTATTTTATAGGTAAGAGTCTGAGTTTATTGCGATACATATAAAGTGATAATCCATAAAAACGTGATGCGGGGAAATTGTCAGTCGCGTGAATAGGTCGAAATATTAGTTTGTGTTATACATAATTTCTGTTTTTGTTTATCATCTTTTTTCTTAAAAAATATATACAATTACATTTCAGATTCATGCTCTGCAAATCGCTGGTGGTATCCATCCTCATCTACGGGTATGAGACTTGGACATTTGGTGAGCCAGGAAAAAGGACCCAGGCGTTTCAGTCCACATTTTGAGTCCGCATCCACTGGGAGCACAAAACCAATGAGGGCTGTGACAGGAAATGTGTCTCATCACCACTTTTAAGTGTCGGAAGATGGCATGGTTTAGCCATGTCAAACGGTCTAACAGCCTCTGCAAGGCACTGTTACAGGCGGACGTAAATGGGGATGGTAACGCAAGATCTGGTCAGACAAAATCAAAGACTGGACAGACACGACAATGTCGGAACTACTGAGAGCCACTGCGAACCGATCATCATGGAGGTGGGGGTCTGTTTCTTCTGCTCTTAGCCATCCTGACGACTGAATCAGTCGAGTGACTAATGATGACGATATTGATGATGATGATATTGATCATGATGGGGATATTCGCCATTACTTGTTTCTACTTGTCAGGCAGCTCTTCAAAAACTTTTTAGTAAAATTCTGCAGGTTCTGATGTGACAAAGTTTCTTACCTGGAGCTCAGCTTCTGGTGCCGATTGAGATCTATCCTTGTCACTGCACTACGTTTTTTGTTTTGTTTTTTTCGTAAGCTATCCATTGTTCATCACCTGTATTATATTTATTTATTTATTTTATTATCACTTACTCCGCCTTGTTGAAGACTGCATATCAACATGAGATATTATTCTCATGTTAATTTTATGAACCTAATCATGTTGCCTCAAGGCACGTTGGAAGAGAGCGTTTGAAGATTTTTTCCGCAGTAGGTTGCCAACTCTTTCTGTAGTAGACTGGTTGCCATCCAAGGCTATAGAACCCAGTCTGACCTGCTATTTATTCCATCGCTAGAGGGAGAAGAAATGAATTCATACCTTTCCCAAGGCTATTTGCGCGTAAGTGAATGTAACCAACTAAACTGGAATTAGAACTCGACTCAAAAAAATTCAAAGCTATTACACCACCTGCACATCCTAGTTTACAGCACCGGGTATTCCCGGCTAAGCGGTCACCCATCTAGGTACTGACCAGAGTCGACTTTGCTTAACTTCGGTGATCGTGCGGAAATCGATTTCTCAACCGAGCCGATATCCATTTTACCAAAACGCAGATTCATTGCCTGTTCTGCTATATTTAAAGAATAGTTAGATTCTCGAAACCTATTTGGTTAACCAAAACGGGAATTACCTTTGACTCCATCTAATACGTTCAATTTGTAAAAAAAAAAAAAAATCATGCCAATATTTTACAGCATAACTAATTCCAATATAATTAGATAAATAGTATGAATTTTCTTTTTCAAAACAGAAACCAGTAACTCCCCCCCCCAAAAAAAACGTACGGAAGACAGCTTGGCAGAGATCATCAATCAACGATAAATATTTGAAAGCTGTGGTGGAAACTGAATTCCAGACCCCTAGTTTGAGATCCCAGCGAAAATCTCAGCGTATTAACTGAAACGATTTCAAATCACTTAAAAGTGACTGGCAAAATGACGGCTAAAGAAAATTATCAATAAATCATTTGCAAGAAAAACCATAAAGAACCTTCTATTCGAAAAGATTAAGGATCAAATAATCAGCCGCACACAGGACTATATTAATAATCATGTTCTGTTTGCTCATAGAATTATCTATCAATATATTAACTAGCGAATGGATGGATACGGATGAATAGCTGAAACATCAACCATAACCGGGCTATAATCTTCGGAAGTTTACAGTAAGCATTTATGAGAACAATAATAGTTTAATGAATTTTTTGCAACACGCTGACAGTATTTAGAATTGTTGATGTTATCGCTAATATTTTTTGTCAAAATTTACAAATTATACGTTTCGTTCAAATTCGCAAAACAATCATTTTTTAAAAATTTTCATGATTTTTTTTTAAATGAATGAAAACTTATCGTAATAAGCTAAGCAACCTTGCAAAAACAACTGTACATTTTTGCAGTTACCTGTTTGCACTTCTTCCAAAAAATTGGTTTTGATCGATCAATGTATCAAAGAGGGTGCGACAGACGAACTATTGAACTTACAGAACTTTATATATAGATAAATTATAGTTATTTAGTGCACAAACAATTTATGTGCTCAATTCATGCGCGGAGATGTGTGAAGCAGTTTACGATATCGCATTCAAAACTCATTCTCTCAGACTAATACATTCAGTTTGTAAAATCAAAATATTAGACTCCAATTTTATATCGCGTTCCGCATAACAGAGGCTGGTTTTAATGGATCTGGCTAGAACATATATATTAAGCAGAACTGATATGCCGAATGCCCTGCTTTGCAAATCGCGTCAACCTTTCTGTCTTCGGACATAACTCAGACGGCTGGTTTTAATGGATCCCGACCCCGTGTATGCGCTAGAACATATATCCCTTAAAAACTGGCCTTGCCACAGAACTGAATAAATGAGTTCACCAAACTCTGAATTCTCTACTTGCGACCTCTCTGTCTTCGGGCGGAAAATTCGAACAAGGCTCTACGAGGGACTTTGCCAATCGATCTCTACAGTTCTGGCGGTGTCAATTGTTAAGACCTTTCTGTCTTCTGGGATGAAGAGATAAGAACTTGAGCTAAATCTTGATGTCATTGACGCAGATGAAAACGGTAGAGTTCCCCACAAACCTTGAGCTTATGTCACATCTCATCTCAGTGGAGGGACTGGTTAAATACTGAGTTTATCAAATATCGTCGGAGTCAGGCAGTTTGCTGTCTCTTTGGGTAGAAGGAGAATTAGTCAGGGCTCTATCTAGCGACAGAGATACAACTTAGATAAACAGACAAGAATTGTACCCGATTCCGCGAATGCGGGTAGTGGGTAAATACTGACCATTGGCCTGAGTGGAAACGCACGGATTTCCCCACAATAATACCGACCTTGTCTCACATCTCATCTTAGGGGAGAGACTGGGAAAATACTGAGTTCATCAAAACTTTTCAGAGCCAGAGTGTCCGCTGCTTGGGTCCGATTGTCAAGACCTCTATCTTCGAGCAGAGGGAGACTCATTCGACTCTCCATCTAGCGACAGAGACAGGATTGGGAATATCAGACAAGAATAGTATCCAATCCCGTGAATGCGGGGGCTGGGTAAATTTTAACAATTGGCCCGAGTGGAAACTCTCGTGTTCCTCACAGAAATCTCGACCTTATGACACTTCTAATCTCAGTTGGGTGACTGGGTAAATAGAGAGTACATCAAAACAACGGTCCGCTGTCTGGCTCTGATTTTCAAGACCTCTGTCTTCTGACAGACGGAGTATCAGTCGGGGGGGGGGTCTGCTTACGGACAGAAACTCGGCTGAGAAATATAGACAAGCAGAGTTCTACGGTTACAGTGGCTGGGTAAATTTTGACGATTAGTCCGATTGGACACGCTCGGGTTCCCCACAATAATCTCGACCTTGTGTTACATCTCATCTCAGTGTAGAGGGGACTTAGTAAATACCAGTTTATCGAAACACGTCGGATTGAGACGGTCAGCTGCCTGGCTCCGACTGTCAAACTCTCTGTCGTCGGGCAGATGGAGAATCAGTCAGGATTGAGACGGTCAGCTGCCTGGCTCCGACTGTCAAGCTCTCTGTCTTCGGGCAGATGGAGAATCAGTCAGTATTGAGACGGTCAGCTGCCTGGCTCCGACTGTCAAGCTCTCTATCTTCGGGCAGATGGAGAATCAGTCAGGATTGAGACGGTCAGCTGCCTGGCTCCGACTGTCAAGCTCTCTGTCTTCGGGCAGATGGAGAATCAGTCAGTATTGAGACGGTCAGCTGCCTGGCTCCGACTGTCGAGCTCCCTGTCTTCGGGCAGATGGAGAATCAGTCAGGATTGAGACGGTCAGCTGCCTGGCTCCGACTGTCAAGCTCTCTGTCTTCGGGCAGATCGAGAATCAGTCAGGATTGAGACGGTCAGCTGCCTGGCTCCGACTGTCAAGCTCTCTGTCTTCGGGCAGATGGAGAATCAGTCAGTATTGAGACGATCAGCTGCCTGGCTCCGACTGTCAAGCTCTCTGTCTTCGGGCGAAAGGAGACTCAGTCGAGACTCCGTTTCAAGACGAAGACTCGACTGAGAAAAACAGACAAGAATTGTACCCTATCCCGCGAATGCGGGGGTTAGTTAAATTTTGACCTTATGGCCAGTGTGTACACGTTTTGTTTCCTTATAGAATTTTCAGCCTTGTGTCTTATCTCATCTCAGTGGGGGACTGAGTAAATACTGAGTGTATCAAAGCTTAAGCGATACGTATTGTCTCGATGAATTCTGCTACATGGTTGACTAAGGTATCACTGCCGTGAAGGATTGGTCGACGCAGAGTCACCGAGAAACTGTGGCAGAACGTTAGCGGCGAAGAACGGGTTGACTCGGAGTTCGTGAACGACGCATCGCGCACAGACAGACGACCCGATATGAGCCGCCGCCAGATGCACGAACGCGAGCGCCCGTCGCCCCGACGCGAAAACCGCCGCGAACGCCGCCTAGCCCGACCCTGCGACCCCCGACCCGAGCTCGCGCACGACCGCGACGCCGCAACGCCGACGGACCGCTACGACACTTTGAACCCGCGCCGCAAAGCGCAAACGGAGCGAACGCTACAGCCCCGTACCGGTTCCTCGCTTCTCGGAGCCAATCCTCCTTCCGAAGAATTCCTGAGAAGAAACTACACAATCTAAAAGAGCTGTGGGGGCTCAGCAACAGAGGATGACATTTCCTACCTGTGAAAATGCCGAAGGAATTGCATGCACTGAATTAATTATTCTAACTAAAGGATCTCACACAAAATATCAATAATCTACATTAAAGTCTTGAAGTAAAAATTATGTATTACATTTTCGTTATTGACCCTTTTTTTCTGTTCTGAAACACTGTATGTGACAAGATTCATGTGAGTTGGCCGAAAAACGTTTCAACGGCCATTTTGGTTGAGTGTGTTGTATCTTCCAATTTAATTCAGAATCCCTGCAAGGAAATATAATTAATCGAGGCTGGAAATGAGTCCAATAATGTCAATATTTTATCTGTAACAAATCCCCTCCCCAAACGAGATGTGAAACATTCACTTAAGAGATGGATATTATTATTAGATATTTGCAATAGCTTAATGTAACTGAAGAATGTTTGCATGGCACCACGCATATGCACACACAGACACACAAACGCACATATACAGATACTATTTTAGCGTGCGGTCTACCAGGTCATTTACAGTTTAAAATGCGGTCTACCTGCACTTTTATATATCAATGTCCAGCCTAAATTCAGTATATATAACAGCGTAGACTATGGAAACTGCAGTAAATGGCTCATTAAACTAGTAATATATATATATATATATATATATATATATATATATATATATATATATATATGGGTACTGCTTTAGTGTTATATATAATACATATATATATATATATATATATATATATATATATATATATATATATATATATATATATATATACAGGGGGTCCAAAATGTACTAACTTTTGACTTCGTCGTTAGTTTGAATATAAACATACATTTAATTTTATTTAATGTTGAAGTTTAAGCGTTAATCTTCTTAGTAAGTCGATAAACAATAATATTTTTTTAATTTTAACCATTAATCTTGTTTGCAAGTCCACAAAAAACTGCATTTAATGTCATTTACGGCGTCAGTACATTTCTTAGGCCACCATATATATATATATATATATATATATATATATATATATTGTGTATTTTGGCAGCATCTTTTCATTCATGCACGTTTCATTAAACAATATAGACAAGTGTTGTCTATTTATTTTATGTAAATTTTTTCGTAATGTCTGATAAGTTTAATAACATTATCGTTGAACGAAGAAAGAAATTCACAATATTGATCCATATTTTTTTTAATCTTGCAGGTAATGACGAAACTGGAAATTTTTAGACGTTGGCTGCGAATTTAATCATTGCTATGGGAACTTACCCATAATAATAATGGAATATTACTGACATTATAAATACTGCGCCTCTCAAGAGGTATGAGGATGTTGTAAAACGAGGAGAGATAATTGAGAGTATATTGTAAGGACATTGGAATAGTGATACTTGTCAAGACAGCATAGTTCACTCTAACCAAATCTGATAGTCATTACTAATACTTCTACTTCTTTGTATTATATTTCTGTTGTAATATATCTTTGTATTCCATACCTGTGTTTGTGTTATTCTTTCATTGGTTCTAACCTTGGACCATCACCGTGGTACAAGGAACTTGGACCATAAAAGTCATCAACGCTATTACCATAAAGAAAGTGACCAGCAAAGAAGAAAAAAACAAAGGACGACCAAATAAAAAAAAAAACAATAAAGAAACAAACAAATAATCACTCTGTGTAGAAAGGAACAAAGAATTGTTAAACGGATATGAAAAGGTGTGGATCCTGGAGGTTGTTTTATTTATTCGTTATGAATTTTAAATGATAGCATTGTAATTGTATGTGGGCACCTTTGACTCATGACAACCAATATTTTTAGATCGAGTCAGCCATTGTACACCTCTCTTATTTGCATCTCTCGAAGCCCATATCTATTAACATTTTTTAAAATTTTCATATCGAAACAGAAACAAATTAATTTGTAAAGAATGGATTTTACTTAGAATCTGACACTATTTTTGATTATTTTAAGTTAGGCACCTCCAAAGAAAAGAGATGCCTATGGTTTAAAATGCATTAAAAAAACAAAAAACAAAAAAAACAAAACAAAAAAACAAAAAATCAAAAACAAACGAAAAGTCTTTCTAGCTTTCGTTTTAATTTCAAGCTAATAGATTAAATTTAAATATTTCCAATAAGCAAAATAAATTACTGTATTTCAAAACGAATTTAAATTTGTTGTAAGGCTGTTTTTTTAATAGTTAAAAATGGCTAAATTAGTCAGATATACAAAGTCAGTATCAAATTTTCGGAATCTCCTTTCTTCATTATGTATCCTAGAAATTTCAGCTGTATCTTCCTGTATATAAGTATAAGCGTCCTTTTTGTTTCTATTTTATCTAAAACTTGCTCTCATGTTCGGTTCATGATATTCTCAGCATCATTCTGTAGAACCACCTTTCTGTTGCTTCAGGTCTCTTCTGGGAGGAGATTTTCCAGCATTCACTTCCATATAGGAGGACTGATACATAATTCTCAAAAAATAAAAAAAAATACTTTTTGAAACTTTATTTGAAGAAGATTAAGTGATAGCATAGATCTTTTTGATGGTCCGTAAATTGACTAAACAGCAACGAGCAAGAAGGCGAAATTTTCTGGTAAAAAGAAGAGTTCTTTGCTCCAATATTATATAGGTTTTTGATTTGATAGCTGTGGTGGGCCCCCTTTCTCTCCTGGTAAGCAATAGTTGTAGACCTAAACTGCCACTGATGCTGCCTAAGGAAACAAAGCATGTTTTATATTAGAAATTCTTAGCACTTAAACTTGGTTTATAATTCAATTCCTGATTTTGTGTAGCTATATTTTTCCGAGTTACTTTTATCCGTTTTAAATTTATCAGACGAGGATTAGTTTCGTTCGTTATATTATCTATGTCTGCATGTTCGTCTAGTTTAAGTATATTGTAGTCATAAGATGTAGTGCCATTTCGTTATTGTTAATTCGAAGATGGCGTGCGTGATTATTATAAGGGAAGCGTGTTATAAGAGACACAGAAAGAATAATAATTACCATTATATAGAATGTTGGACAGGATAGAAGAAGAGACAGTATCCACAGGATTGCCAAGATCTTCTTTGTTGTCCCAACGGTACATAATGATCGCGACTGCATTGGATGAACAATAACTATATACCTGTAAAGAGAAAAGTGAGAGGAAATCATTGACAAGAGTTAATTAAAAAGCTCCGGGTGAAAAAGAATAAAGAATCGAATTATGTATAATGATTATGAGTGTTCAGTGCATAATGATGTCCTGTCAGTACAAATGATGTCTAACTTATTGTTACAGGCTCAGAACGAGAAATCGGCAGGCCGTGTTCGAATTCCGGTTGCGATCGTTGAATTCACTTTACCATTTGGAAAGGTACGAGTCTACCTTGTTTCTCCACTAACAGCTATGGGTGGGAGTAGACAATGGAAATATTTGAAGAGTACAAGAAATAGTACTTAGATAAAGAGAGTTGGTCATACATTTGTTTTGCAGTGGGCAGTCGTTAGAATTCCTGTAATTACCTTGGTTAATATTATCAACAGTATTATTTTGGAAGTTGCATTATAATCCAAGTTTTTAAATTGGTTTAAAATTTCATTATTGTGTTTCTTTATAATATTCTCAAGATTATTTATCGGTGCAGCTATAACTTAGTTTTAGTGTGTTTCTGTTAAATATTTTACTGAGTGGATTATTTCTAGGGAAATGGAGGAACTTCTGGTCTAACTTTGTACTGACGATTTGGTTAAATGGGGTGTATAGTAAATGATTTTCCAATTCACATTTCTTTTCCTTAAATCGCTATTATCATGTTTTCTATACTTAGTTTCTGCGTACTTGTAACCACAATTTTTTAAAACTGTATGTAGCAACTATCGGGTACAAATTAAAAACTACCCGTTGTAACAGGACACTACTTATAATAAAATTTATATTTTTTTTAAATCAATTCACTTTTCAATCAATGTATATATTTTGAAATCAAATTCATTTTTTGCCGGTTTTTTTTATCAGTTTATTTATTTTCTCATAAGTAAATGAACTTCCACTATCTTACCAACAGATTATAGATAATGTCATATTACAACGGTTACTTGACGATTTTTATGTGCCTAAAATTCAGACTTGCGTATATATATGAATAAATAGACAAGAGGACAAACTATTAAACTATTTTTAGTCGACGCTTTTTCGTCCTCTGTGGACATTTGCCTTTGATAATTTGTTTTGATAAAGTCCCTCAGAGGACGAAACGCGTCGTCTAAGAATGGTTTTACCTTTTGTCTTTTTACTAATTTTGTTCCTTTAGAGATACACTCTATCTGAAAATAATTTACACACACATACACATGCACACACATATATATATTATATTTTATCTGATTGTTTTATTGGAATACACAAAGAGACTCATATATATATATATATATATATATATATATATATATATATATATATATATATATATATATACATACATACATACATACATACATACATATGTGTGTTGTGTGTGTATGTGTTTATTCAAGAAAAATCAGATAAAATCTAATTTGGCGGATATTACCATATTTTTTTAAGAAGAAGCCCCAGGATATAAGGACAGATTGGAAAAGTTAAAATCATAACTGAAATTTATTCATTTTTTTTTATTTGTCTTAAGAAATATTAAATATTGTCTATACCATCGAGACTGTCGGAAAAAAATAAGATTTAAATTTTTTTTTTTTATCTTGTTAAGGAGTGACACAAATTTTTTCCCCAGGAACAAAATCATGACTGTCTTTTTATGTAATTCACACTTTTTACGGAGGGTGCCTTCATAATAATTTTTTTCTGAACTAACAGAGAGAGAGAGAGAGAGAGAGAGAGAGAGAGAGAGAGAGAGAGAGAGAGAACGCGATATTAAATTCACTTCTGTAACTCGATAAGATATTTACAGTAAAACTTTTAAGCTAAAAATGCTATACTAAACATTTTCTAAAGTTCTGAAATCAAGCTTTTTCCATATTTGCAGATATTCTTCGGAGAAATTAAGTGGGCGCGTGGCTGAGTGCTTTAGAATCTCACTATTTCAAGGAGGTTACTTCTTGATAATATCGACATGGGGAAAAGATCCCAGCGTGTCCCACTGTTAGAAAGCGATCGAAAATCATAGCACAAGTTGAAAGCCTGTGAATGAAACTGGGGAAAGAAACTGTTCGGAGGTCGTCGATAACTGTGTTAACCCGAAGTCGTAAGTCGTCGTGGTCGAGGTTTTAAGCGTACTGGCATTGTTCTGAAAAAAAAAACAAACAAAAAAAAAAAACACTAGATTATGCGCTTTCTCTTAGAAACTGTAATTAAAGTTGCTCGACATAGTTGGGTGCGCTGTGGTGCAAAGGATAGCAGCTTAGCATGACAACCCAGAGAGCCGTGTTCGAATTCCAGTAGAGTTCTTTGCAGTCACTTACTCGTAAATACCATTGAGAAAGATATGAATCCATTTTTCTCCCCACCCCAGCTCTGGATAAATAGCAGAACAGACTGCAGCCCTATAGAAACCAATCTAGAGAAAAGGGAAACTCTGAATTCTTGTAGAAGGTTGGGCTTCTAAAACGTCAGGTGACGAATAGAGTCTCGGATGACGAACAAGCAAGCCGGTGACAAGCTGGGAGTATCGGCGAGAAAGCGTCAGTTGTGTCAGCTTTCGTTTATATACATCTTTGCTCGAATTCGCCGTGCCTTCTCTTGAGTTTGTTTTTTAAATTATTAAATAATGCACAATGGGACCAAAGAAGAATAATTATAGCAGCAAATTGAAAAGAAGAAAGATCAGAATCCTGATAGAGATGAAGAAAGAAATCTGAGCCAAACATGAAAATGTACTCGTATATCCGACCTTGCTACACTGTTTGGTATGTCAGAATCAACGATCTAGACTGTTCTAAAAAATAAGGAGACGATCAAGTGTGCTGATGTTGCAAGTGGAATTTCGGTTCTTACTAAAAAAAATCACAGAAGATAGATGTTACTGCTGATTTGGATAAACGAAAAACTGTTGGTAACTGATTCAGAAGGCATTATTAGTGAAAATCAAGGCCATTGCATGATGACCTGGTAATGTGTGGCATCCATCGTGCAGTTAGGCATGGAGAAGCTGCGGGCATGAATTAAAAAGTTGCTGAGGAATTTGAGCAAGAAAACGTGAAAGCTGAGGCATTTATTCCCCAGCAATTATTTAACTGTGACTAAACGGGTCTATTCTGGGAAAAAATGCCAAACAAGACGTATATCACCCAAAAAGACAAAGGATTAACAGGACACAAGCCAATGAAGGACAAATTGAATATTTTGCTATGTGGAAACGCAATTGGGGACTTCAAGATAAAGCCATTACCTGTTTCCCGTTCGGAGAATCCGAGAGTGTTTAAGAAAAGCAATGTGGTCGGTTGGCTCTGTTTAGCGAAATATTAACCCCTGTGGTTTAATTAAAATCGAAATATAAATATTTTGTACATAATTTTATATCTTCAGCTGAATATATTTTGAACGCAATTGTATGTCATCAACTACAGATAAAATATATTGTGGCTCATTTTGCTTTAAATATATATTGTTGGTCAGTTTAGTATAAATAAGTATTGTTAGTTGATTTTCTATAGCGGCGCATAAACTCCTATTTACTACTTAATGCCGAAATCTAAATATTTTGAATGCAACTGTATGCCGTAAACTATAGATAATATTTATTGTCGGTAATTTTACGATAAACAGATATTGGTTGGTTGAATGTGTTCAGCGCCATATCAATCTCTATGCAGAAATCTAGATATCCCGCACGCAGTTTATGCTTTCAACTACAGATATATTGTACATAATTTTATACTCTCAGGGTAAATGTACGTATTTTATATATATATATATATATATATATATTATTTCTTTTATTTTTATATTTTTTATATTCTATTTATTATTACTTTATTATATTTTTATTATATTTATTATTATATTTACATCATATTTTTTATTTTTATATAAATATATACATATATATATATATTTTAGATATTTTAGATATATTTTTTATATCTTTTTAGACATATAGTTTGTAGATCATAAAATATATTCTTGGTAATTTTACTATAAAATGTATTTTTATATATTTTTAATATTGCAATGATTATCATTTTGCTATAAAAATGTATTGGCCATTTTATTAAAAAATGTACTGATTTTTGTTTGGAAGTTCATTATTTGCCTATACCTGGGAGCCTAACAGGTGCTACCACCCTTGGTCAGGGTGGGCCTAGGAACAATAGCAATTTAAAGGTGGTTACACGCTTCTAAAAAAGCTCCAATCTCCCGATCAGGGGCCTTGCTGCCAGATATTCCTTATCGTCAAACCCAGGACGCATTAACAATGTGATAAAACGTAAATTGCCCGTTGTGTGGAAGGCTAATTTCAAGCCTTGAGTAACTAGGCAATGTTTTATTGAGCGGATTCATAAAGTCTTTGCCCCAAGTGTGAAGTAATACTTGTAAGAAAAATATTTTGTGATGGGCAATGCACTTACTCACCCACAATACTTGGCGGACGAGCAGGTGAAGGTATTAGCTTTTATCACACTGCAAAATCCTGCCTCCTAACACGGCTTCTTTAATCCAGCTGATGGATTAGCAGGTCAGTTCAAACTTTAAGAAGCTCAACGCCAAAGCAGTTTTTCAAAGGCGATTTTAGGTAGCTACTGACATGGAATTAACTCTTGGAGACTTTTGGAAACATCATTTTAATATCTTCCATTGTTTAAATCTCATTGACAAAGCCTGGCGGCAAGTGACTTACAGGACTATAAATTCAGAAGGAAATTATGGTCGGATTATGTTACCGGCAGATTACTTTGAGGGCTTTGATACTAAATATTTTGCTGTTGTCGATGATATTGGGTCTCTAACCAAAAACACTGGCATGAAAGTTAACAATGAAAACTTGGAGGTGTTACAGGTGGGCCACAAAAAAATGAGCACAGCACGGAAGAACTGGAAAATCTTCGGGAGCACCAGCAAAAAAAAGGCGATTTTTAAGGCCCGAGGGCCACTCGTGGTAAAGAGGTACAGCGTAAGAGGCAGAGTTTATAAGGAATATAACGTGTAGAAGATAACGGTTAATCTTAGGTTAAGATTGTAGTGACTTGAACAGGTTAAGATTGTAGTGATCGTAGCAGAAACCTCTTGGGAGTCGATCCTACAAGGTATGATTGCGGAGGAAATGTTTTCAGAGGAAGAGGTGGCATGGGAAGATGTTTCTAGTTCTTTGATCCGTGTATATTGTGCCAAATCGAGTGAGGTGCAAAGTTTCGTGGAAAGATATCACACTGATAAAGCTGTAGCCAGTCGCGCCATAAACATTTTCAGTGACAATGCTATATCACGCTTTAGAAATATTTTAAAACGTAGATGAAAACAAATCTTATTGGAGAAACTTTTATTAAGACAGAGGCCGAGCGAGGCTCAAGCAGAGTCAAATGGTGCTTAGAGTGAAAAAATAGAAAAAAAAAAGAATCCCAATAAAGACAGTTACCTGATTTTTTTTTAATGGAAGGTTGAACACCTTTCTAAACAATATCAACTCTCCTCTTCCCATTCCTCACCACCTTCAATTTACACCATCAACGCTCCTTTCTACAGGTGCGGTAAAATTAATGAAAGTTTTCGTCTATATTATATCTGTTTAGTATTGTGTTTATTGTATATTTTCTGTGAGTTAGAACCAAACGCATATGCTCAGACCATTTAGATTTTCTATACAATATTAATAACTTAACAAAACAATTCCTAAAATGCAAATACCCAATAAAAATAATAAAAGAAGCACTAAATAAAACTATCCTGATAAATCGTAACACACTTCTCACATACAAGAAAAATAAAAACAACAATCGGATTCCCATGGTTTTTAACTACAATCAATATTCCCACACACTTATTCACAATTTAAAAAATGATTACAAGAACCTCCAATTAGACAACAAGATCAAAGACATTTTCGATAAACCACCCATAAATGCAATGAAACAATCACCTAACTTATCAGCTATCCTCACCTCTACCAAATATCTAAACAATAGAAACCAAACAGGAAATTACAAATGTAACAAACCTCGTTGCTTAGTTTGCAAACATTTAGTAATAGCTAATACATTTTACGTACCCAACACCAATATCAGGATACAGCCACCTAACCTCACCTGCGATACCCATAACGTAATCTATTATTTATTCTGCAACTTATGTCCTAATAGTGGATATATTGGTGAGTCTGGAAACAATTTTAGATTTCGTTTTAATAACCATAAACAAACAATACGTCAAAACAACCCTTATTCCCCCATAGCTAAACACTACAATCAATCAGGACACACATTAGAAAACTGCAAATGTAGATTCCGATTTTACTTCCACATTCACACGCAGAAAAAAAGAAACATATTGGATTTTAAAATTAAATACACATAAATTAGGGTTGAATAGGGACTTAGGTGTTTTAAATCTTTATAAATATTTCAATAGCTAAGCAATTTCTTTAGATATAGTAAAAAATATTTTAAAAATATTTATGACAGTTAGATTTAAGTTAGAATATCTGAACAGTGACGTTCCATATCACGTGACGTCCGCGTCTCGCGAAGGACGCTACTTGCCAACAAACAGTAATTTTAATTTATTTGTAACAAACAGTTATTTCTGATGAAAATTGAGGACAATTTGAAATATCAAATATATATATAAATAAATAAATACTTTCATAAAATAAAACATTATAATTTTTAATTTGAAACTTTTCTATATATATATATATATATATATATATATATATATATATATATAAGCAAATATATGGATATAGATCCGACAGTATGAAGAAAAAAATACGGAAAAAACAAACAAAAATTCTAATATGCGATTATGCTGTTTTAATATTAATATAATGTCAACGTCGGACGTTTCGGTCTAGTCGACCATCTTCAGGACATATTCATATAACATAATTAACATTAGACTATATTCAATTCAACAAGAAAAGACGATGGACATAAGAGTAAGACTAATCAAAACAGATAACTGAAAATTTTCAAGATCAGCTTTCCGTTTCAATTATGTTTTATGAATATGTCCTAAAGATGGTCGACTAGATCGAAACGTCCGACGTTGACATTATATTAACATTAAAACAGCATAATTGCATATTAGGATTTTTGTTTGTTTTTTCCATATATTTTTTTCATATATATATATATATATATATATATATATATATATATATGGATTAAGTTTTGATAATTTGAAAATGCTCGGATAATTTGAGATTTTCTATTCACATTCGGATAATCGAAGTCTGGAAAATTTCCGGCTGGTCTCGCGTTCTTCTGTCACTAACTCCCGAAGCTGGTTTCAAACTATTTGTAAAGACGGCTTCTGGTTGAAAGGGAAACCAACTTAAGCATTTTTGTCAAACATAATCATTGCTTCGGTGTTTGAAGTTGGGCATTGGGGATGTTGAACTTCAGCATAGTGAATATCATTGTCTTCTTCCTCCTCCTTCTATTCAACATTTTCCTGCGCGATTATAACTCCAACAATACCCCGATCACTTAGGTGTTCATATCATTTTTGTCAAACATAATCATTGCTTCGGTGTTTGAAGTTGGGCATTGGGGATGTTGAACTTCAGCATAGTGAATATCATTGTCTTCTTCCTCCTCCTTCTATTCAACATTTTCCTGCGCGATTATAACTCCAACAATACCCCCGATCACTTAGGTGTTCATATAAAGGTCCGTCTGCACTGAACCAGTCATTTTTATTTCTGCTTCAT